GGCATACTAGAAACTTCTAGGCAGGTGTGTTGAGGCAAGCTGGAGCTAAACTCTGCACGACACTGGCCCTCCAGGACCGAGTTTGGGCAGCCCTGTACTAGAAGTTCTGACAAAATGTTAATTGCTGCAGTCTATTTTTTTATTTTTTTTAATTATTGCAAAACATATTGATACTAACACCCAAAAAACTTTAATTTTCAAAATATATTTCACTTAAATCATTGACAGATTAACAAAACGAAATAAGAAAATGTGCTAAGTTACGGTTCATTGTGACGCGTTCCAAAGTTCTCGTAAAGGAAAACGAGACAGCAGAAAGTAGTTTTCTTTATTTTGCAAAAGCTTTACAGTTTTCTTTATTTTGCAAAAGCTTGACAGTTTTGAATAATGTCTTGCTTCTATCTGTATAACCAACCAGCGTTGGTATGACCATCGTGCCGGCGCCTCAGCGCCACACACAACATATTTTTGCGACGTTGCAACCTGTTCATTATCAAAATAAAATACAGTTAAAGAAACTAATAAAAAGTTACATTGCTCCGTTGTACAAAATTTGTTGCGTTCAGCGTGACTAGCGCCTCACTGTGCTGATATAGCCGATGTGAAGGATGATCTTTTACGTCGATGAAAGTGCAAAGCCTAGCCTATAATAAATAATATTTTAGCATCCAGATACGTCGCGAATATGGAAACATTTGGATTTGTGCCGAATGAGCGAGGTAGGCATCAGTTTCACCTTAAATTAATTTGTTTTTGGATTGACGTTTTTATAGCCTAAATGCATAGCCTTAACTTTAGAGGATTTGTTGTGGAGAGAAACTAATAACTGTGTTTATAATGTTTGTAAACATTTTGCTTTAGCCTACCGGCATTTTAGCCTACCTTATTTCTGAATGTAGGCTCAGACATCTGAATGTCTGAGCCTATACGCGACTTATGTTTTTTTTCACTCTCCAAACGCAATCTTATATAAGTAGCATTTTTTTAACAATGCAGCAAACATTTTTAAATATCTTAAAAATACTTTAATGTCTTTAAAGTGTTGATAGATTTTTTCTTTTGTTTAGTAGCCTACATTTGGCCAAAATCTAGAAAAGATGATGCTGTATTGGCTGTGACTAAGCGCAGCGGGTTATAGGCTTAACGTTACCAGATAATTTTTCTTTTTCTTTTTGAGTAAAGAAAACGCTGTACTTTATTATTATTATTATTATTATTATTATTATAGGCAAAGAAAATTGTTTTTAAAAAATAACGTTATTAACCAGTATTTCTTCTACCTGAACCGGTTTCGGAATGGTAATAATACAGAGGAACGCAGGAACAGAAACATTAAACTATCGATTCTGCTCTGAGTGAACCGATTGAATTAGTTTTTTTGTTTTCATCGTATTTCATCGTATTTTTGGGGCTGACTGTTTGCTTGTCATTTTGCGAGTGATGAAATCGGATCAGTTTGTTTGTAGTCAATATCCAGTGTATATACATTGGTTGCTGTAGTAATGATGTAAGCATCAGCACAATGTCAAGATACTCAAACAACAACTGTCAGTGAAGTCAGTGTGGAAAGAGAGGAAAACTTTGCCAATTTTTTTCATGATATATAGCTGCAATGCTGAATATAAGTAACATACTGTGTCCAGAATTGCTGACTCTTTGACTTATTCACTACATAGCATAATTCAAAAATAGGGTTATTATAGTTTAGAAGTTTTCATTTTGTTGATAATATTTTCAGTTTATTTTGTTTTTATTCTTTATTCGAAAAATTAATTTATGGCCATTTTTATTTTATTTTAGTTAGTTTTGTAAACATGAAAATGTACTGTATTTAATGTTCACTTTTTCCCCAGTTATGATAGTTTTTATTTTTATTTATTTATTATTTTTTAAATGTTGAGAAACATTCAAAACAAATTCAAATTAAATTTCAAACCACATATGAATATATTGTGGAACAAATTTGTAAACATCAAAAAGAAGCAACTGTGCAAGCATTTTTTCAAACCAAGTCTGAATTTTTGACTCAAAAAAAATGTCTAATTTATTAAAATCATGAAACTTACTGTAAACAATATAACATCAATTTATTAAAAGTTTAACAAAAATTACATGTTTAGGGCCCTATGAAATGTTTTATTTTTTTCCAACCTTATGTATATTGTTACCAAATTCTGTGTTTTAGCATGTCTAATTATTTGAAAGCATAAAAACATTCATTTAATTTATTTCTACAATAGCCTTATGATTTTTTTCCTCAGAAATTCTGTGTTGTGTATTCACATTGTTTAAGGCATTCATTTAATAAGGCATTCATAAGGCAAAACATTCATTTAATTTATCTTTTAATTAATTAAAATTAAACAAATTTAATTTTTTGGAAAATAAAGTAAAAAAAAAATTAATAATTGAAATGGTTTAATAACAATATTTTGTTATGGTTACACTTGAATTGGTTACAAAATAGATGAAGGATGGTAAAGCATAGTTAATTGTACCCAGCATGTATGTAAAATGTTACCTGAGGGAGAGAGAAAGAGAGATAGAGAGAAAGAGGGAGAGAGGGCAGAGCCCCAAGAAGAGAGTCCCAGCAAAGAAAGAGAGAGCAAAGAAAAAGAGGGATATCAGCACTTCTGTGCCTTCAGGAATGCCAAATGGCCCTTTTGTTACTGAAGATAGGTTTGGGACAGGAAAGCAGAAGTCTTTGATAATTTTTGACCTTAGTGACACTCACGCGGTGTTTGCATTTTGTCAAATACACAGACGTTTCAGAAACGTTTTCATGAGCAACAGAAACACTTTTTATATACTGCTTAATACAGCGCCATCTTTTCAAGAATAAAGTTCAACATAATCATATACTATTTAAATACTAATAAAGTGGGGGTATATATGCTTTTATCAGTGTTTTATGATAAACGTGACTCAATATAACAGTGCGAATACAGTAAAAAAGCTTTTACTGTTCTAAAAACACAGATTTGTGGCCATTATTGGAATTGAAAAGGTTAGAATAAACCCAAAACACACGTGATTGTTGTCATGCAGTGAATCTGGCCAATCGTGAAAGAGCTGTGTCGTCATCAGCGGTCCTGCAGTCGCTCTGGAGAAACTGCGGCGGCTGAGACAGCCGACTGCTCTCGAAACGCTCTTCGGGGCGGAACTCCGCTGTGTGCGATACAGAGAAGCGCGACCATGTAACGTAGAGACCGAAATGACATGCCGTCGTGTAAATAAGATAAATAACATAAATAACATAAGGCTATTTAGTTTGTTTAATAAAAGAACAAGGTATAGACCTGTTCTATAGGAAAGGTAACTTTAAATGACTTCTGTTGTGATCTGGCGCTATAGAGAAAATAAAATAAAATAAAATTAACTTGACCTTCAAGGGGGGGCGGGGTGCCCCCCTAATATAATGGCAGGGGAAACACTGGCATAGACCTAACAATATGCAAATTAATTAACATAACATGGGACTGTAGATATTGTATTAATATTAGCCATATTATTGTATGACAGATGAATGTGTACCAACTTACCACGCACAACCTTTGACATCAAAAACTACAAATATTGGAAGCATTTTCTCTCCCGTTTTAAAAGTTGATAAGCTTGTTTATGTATTATTAAGAGATGTAATTTATTATTTCTCTTATGGTGATTTATGGTATTACAGAAAGACCCTCTCCCCTGGAGACCTCAGTATGGGAAAGATGTCGATGAGGACATGCTCGCCCAGACCTGGAGACCTTCCGCGACCCAGTCCAGGACCTGAGATGCTGCTAAACGGGAATTGAGGCGGGCTGAAAACACCAGTTCTCCTCATGTTCTAATTCCATGGGGTCATGCCAAGAATCCACCATCCTCCTTAGGTAGAAGGTAGAGTTGCCCTTATAGGAGTCAATTGAGGCAGCGAGACGCAGCCGAAAGCCTTCTGTATTCATGTGTTCTCTTCATAAGAGCTAGCTATGCCCTGTAATTGTAATCACTCATCATCTGTTCAGAGTCGGTTTGTTTTTCTTAATCACTGCTTGTGGATGAATGTTCACTTTGAGTCACAACTCCACCTCAGGTAACTCTCAATGTCAGCCAATCAGAACTCTCTCCAAGCCAGGAAACCAATTACCCATGTCCCGTAACTCTGTACAGAAGAGACGGTTCTCACTAGCTTTTAGCACACTGAAGAAACCATAATCTACTGTATGATGATTATATAGCAGACTCTTCCAATATATATTTAGAATAACCAAGGTGCTTGGAATCTATAGTACATGCATTAATTATTATTATTATTAATATTATTGCAGTGTTAGCCACTGAAATGTTATGTGCATTTATTGTTTGTTGGGCATCATTGTTTGAAACAGCCATTCATTGATCATTGTTAAATGTATGTGTGTGGATTATGGTATATGTCTGGTATCTCTAAGAGACATTTTACAGGTAATCAATATTTTGTAGAAATATTCAAAAGAAACAGTTCACCCAAAAATGAAACTTCTGTCATTCTGTCATCACCATAAACACAGCGTTAAAATGGGCCATACGACTTGCGTTATTATGTTATAATAACATATTATGTTATGTTATATGTTATTTCCAAGTCTTATGAAGCCTTATAATAAATTTGCATGTGGAATTTATGTAGTTAATCACTACATTGTTCGAGTCCGAGTCCAGGCCTGAATAATTTCGGCAAGTCAAGAACCAGAAGTGTTGAGTCCGAGATAAGACGAACACCAGATAATGGTCGAGTCTGGGTCAAGACCAAGCCCAGAAGAGGGTCAAGTCTGTGTCAGAGTCGAAAAAGCAACCAGAAGAGGTGCTGAGTCCAAGTCAATACAGACACCAGAAGATGGTCAAGTCTGAGTCAAGACCGAGACCAGAAAAGGGCCCAGTATGAATCAAGACAGAGACCAGAAGAGGGCCCAGTACAAGTCAAGACAGAGACCAGAAGAAGGCCAAGTCTGAGTCAGAGTCGAAAAAGCAACCAGAAGAGGTGCTGAGTCCAAGTCAACACAGACACCAGAAGATGGTCAAGTCTGAGTCAAGACCGAGACCAGAAAAGGGCCCAGTCTGAGTCAAGACAGAGACCAGAAGAGGGCCCAGTCCGAGTCAAGACAGAAACCAGTAGAAGGTCAAGTCCGAGTCAAGACAGAGACCAGAAGAGTGCTGAGTCTGAGTCAAGACAGAGACCATAAGAAGGCCCAGTCCAAGTCAAGACAGAGACCAGAAGTGTGTTGAGTCCGAGTCAAGACAGAGACCAGAAGAGAGATGAGTCTGAGTCTAGACTGAGACCAGAAGAAGATTGAGTCTGAGTCTAGACAGAGACCAGAAGAGAGATGAGTCTGAGTCTAGACTGAGAGCAGAAGAGGATTGAGTCTGAGTCAAGACAGAGACCAGAAGGGTGTTGAGTCTAAGTCAAGACAGAGACCAGAAGAAGGCCCAGTCCGAGTCAAGACAGAGACCAGAAGAGTGTTGAGTCTGAGTCAAGACAGAGACCAGAAGAAGGCCCAGTCCGAGTCAAGACAGAGACCAGAAGAGTGTTGAGTCTGAGTCAAGACAGAGACCAGAAGAAGGCCCAGTCCGAGTCAAGACAGAGACCAGAAGAGTGTTGAGTCTGAGTCAAGACAGAGACCAGAAGAAGGCCCAGTCTGAGTCAAGACAGAGACCAGAAGAGTGTCGAGTCTGAGTATAGACTGAGACCAGAAGAGGATTGAGTCTGAGTCAAGACAGAGACCAGAAGAAAGCCCAGTCCAAGTCAAGACAGAGACCAGAAGAGTGTTGAGTCTGAGTCAAGACAGAGACCAAAAGAAGGCAGAGTCTGAATCAAGACAGAGACCAGAAGAAGGCTGAGTCTGAGTCAAGACAGAGACCAGAAGAGTGTTGACTCTGAGTCAAGACAGAGACCAGAAGAAGGCCCAGTCCGAGTCAAGACAGAGACCAGAAGAGGATTGAGTCTGAGTCAAGACAGAGACCAGAAGAAAGCCCAGTCTGAGTCAAGACAAAGATCAGAAGAGTGTTGAGTCTGAATCAAGATAGAGACGTGAAGAAGGCCCAGTCCGAGTCAAGACAGAGACCAGAAGAGTGTTGAGTCTGAGTCAAGACAGAGACCAGAAGAAGGCCCAGTCCGAGTCAAGACAGAGACCAGAAGAGTGTTGAGTCTGAGTCAAGACAGAGACCAGAAGAAGGCCCAGTCCGAGTCAAGACAGAGACCAGAAGAGTGTTGAGTCTGAGTCAAGACAGAGACCAGAAGAAGGCCCAGTCCGAGTCAAGACAGAGACCAGAAGAGTGTTGAGTCTGAGTCAAGACAGAGACCAGAAGAAGGCCCAGTCCGAGTCAAGACAGAGACCAGAAGAGTGTTGAGTCTGAGTCAAGACAGAGACCAGAAGAAGGCCCAGTCCGAGTCAAGACAGAGACCAGAAGAGTGTTGAGTCTGAGTCTAGACTGAGACCAAAAGAAGGCAGAGTCTGAGTCAAGACAGAGACCAGAAGAAGGCCCAGTTCGAGTCAAGACAGAGACCAGAAGAGTGTTGAGTCTGAGTCAAGACAGAGACCAGAAGAAGGCCCAGTCCGAGTCAAGACAGAGACCAGAAGAGTGTTGAGTCTGAGTCAAGACAGAGACCAGAAGAAGGCTGAGTCTGAGTGAAGACAGAGACCAAAAGAGTGTTGACTTTGAGTCAAGACAGAGACCAGAAGAGGGTTGAGTCTGAGTCTAGACTGAGTCAAGACCAAGACCATGAATATATGGTCTAAGACTTGGACTTGTGTAATACAACAAAGTCATTTTTAGGTGAGCTGTATCTATTAGCTATAAGCAACAAACAGCCCAATAGAATTTCACAGTTCAGTCTTGTTTGAGGATGTGGAATTGTTTAGTGTGTATGAAATGCCTAATACAGTGACAGTTCCTGTCTGTTGTTTACAATAGTCAAAAGGTCACTTCGGTTTTTGTTTTTGCTGTTGTTGATTCCTGTAATTTCAGTTTGAAGAATACAGATGATTAGAGTTTAGGGTTCTTTAGTTTCCAAAATTCTTGTTTTCCCTTATTTTATTACAAAACATTGCTAACTTCCATGAAGTTGTTGGGATATTTTGTATCAGTTTTTAATTGTTTGGTCAGCATTTTAAAAGTACAATCAACCCTACAGTATCTACAAACCATCACACGTTTTTGAGGATTATTTCCTGCTTGATTAAGAGTAAATAGAGGAAAAATAATCACAGTAACTCCAAGATTGCTGGTGTTTTCATGTAGTTTTGTGCACTGTAGTGTTCCTGAAAGGAGATGAAAACTGTGTGACAGTGCATAGAAAAACTCTCCCATTTAAAATAGCATTTCAGTATCTAATTTATGACAGGATTGTTTTTTTGTTTAATACTTTTCTCCTGTCACTGATTTCTCTTTTGTTAAATGTATTGCCTGGACCAGTTAAGTGTGTGTATATGTTTGAATTAGTGTATGAATGTGCATATTGTCTTAAGCCTGAACGAAATATGAACATGAATGCATTATCACTTAAGACTGTTAATCACGGTTTTACTTATGTGGTATTAGTGTTTTTCCGCTTAAAATGAAAAATGTGGAGTGAATCTTCCTGGTCTCGGCTCAAGCGCTGTCTCATTAAATCTCATTTTGCCTCCTGCAGTCGAAGCGTTTTTCGACAGGCGATGTTACAGCTGCACCTTCCAGCAAAGACATTTTTTGCGAAATGCTTTTTGAATGATATACAGAAATTTTTAATGGATGAGTCCTAGTGTGTTTAAGCATAACATCTTGTTGATTTAGTGCACATGTAAAGATTTTTGTCTTTATTTTTGGTTTATCTTCTATTTGTTGGGCCTCATCTGATATGAGAGTTTCAAAAATGGCGCTGGGTTGGTAACGATACGAGTTTCCGTTCTAAGTTTCTCTCTAGCTATCAAATTGCCTTTAAAATGTCACTTTTCCTATATTATCACCCGTTGCGATGCAGCAAAGCCTTATTAGTAGTACATGTTTGACTCGTTTATCTGGCCAGCTCAGCCCTGTATCATGCATGCTGCCTTTGGCAAAAAGGTTTTTTTGGCAAAGGAAGTATGATTGTGTAGTTGTGTCACACAACACCCCAGTGCTGTGAATGTCCTGCACTGTATCTTGCATTTTACTCACTTCCTATAGCACTTACTGTCTGCTTGTATGGATTAATATCAGTATTATGATTGTTTTATATCCATAGTTCTGTAGTTTTTTTCCCTTGGAAATGTCAGTTTTGTTTGCATTTAAATTTTAAAAATTTGCTTAGCTGTAATAATGGGGCAGGACGTGTTTGGTTGTGATGATGCTTGTTTTTGTCCTGTATGCAACTGCAAAAACGAACTGATGTGTTGGATATTTTTACGTCTGTATTAGACATTTTATTTGCAAATCTATTGTTCGATTCAATTGTAAATGAATAGAAGATGGGCATCCGTCATTTTATACAACCAGAGCCATCATTAGATGGACATACTGCACATTTTTATTATATATAATCAGATATATGAGGCTATTTATGGTCACAGAGAGAAAGAGTCTAAAAGTCAGGAATATCTTTTGATGAAATAATAGTAGAAATTATTTATATTGCATATTGTTTCTTTTTAAATACCACCGGGCAAAGATTTCCCTTTTGCTTGTGGCAATGCAAGGAAGAATATATAGAAATGTAGCCAACGCACAGTCGATTCTTACTGGTTGTTTGTTTGTTATTGCTCTTGTATCTTGGCTAAGCTTGGCTCTGATATGTAGGGCAAGCTGGTGAGATGAATCTAAAGGGCATGACATGTAGTTGCATGCCAAGATAATAAACACAGTTACATCATCACTTGAGTGTTCAGACTCTTTCTTATACCCCCAGGATGCAGTTTTATGAATAAGCGTGACATCTGCTGGTGTACGGTGGTATGGCATGTGACGGTGGGCTACTTAACTGGAGAATATATATATATATATATATATATATATATATTAGTGCTGTATATATATATATATTTAACAACACACTAGCCACAGAATTTTGTAAATCAAAAGATTTCTAATATTTTAATATTAGATTACAGTTAGTAGGAAATACATGCTAATCAGTCAGAGGAAGATTTAGTTCCAAACCGCAAACTGCTTCATGTTCCTATATCTGCATTACCCATGTATTCTATACATAGTATATGGAAATTTTCTGTATACGTGAAATACCAAATACCACTTGTATAGACCTTAGCCAGTTTAGACACCATAATGAATTTATTCATGATCATTTTCACAACCCAAAACTTTTAAAGCTGTTTTATATTTTATGGAGTTTTTGTCTCCTGAAAGTATTTTTTTTCTTCTCAGAAAGATGTTTCATCTGAACAATTGGTTGTTAAACAACAGTAAAATCTATTGAACACACTGTACTTCTATCACTCACAGCCTTATTTTTATTCCTGTCTAGTAAAAATATGGCTTTACCCTGACTAAGGTCTATTGTAGTATACAACGGTTCTTCTTTGGAATGTTCTATACATTATAACATCAGATCTGCTCTTTTCAGGTAAACATGCAACATAATTTAACATGACAACAGTGAAGCATACTACTGTTTGAAATGTTTTTCTTCCACAACTTTCTAAACATGCTCTACCAGTATGCAGAATGTAGTACATACTGAGCAGAAAGCAGTACGCTAGTATTCGATCCATTCCGAAGAATTCCGAAGAATGCTGAAGAGTGCGGCGGCGCATGCGCAGTGCGAGCGGGGTTTGGTTTGTGTTTACAGCAGCACTGTTGCTGGCTAATGTTCGTCGCTGTTATGTCAAGCCTCTCTGGAATAAAAAGCTTTTGTGGAAACAGGTAGGATGAGTGGCAACGATGCACACCTCCGTGTTTTTATTTATTCTACACGTCCGTTTCGTTATTCAGTAGTTTAGTCGTTTTAGGAGGAAGATATAACACAATATATGCAGATTTGGATTTGAGGCTAGCATGCTACAGTGTGTTAGCCCGTTAAAGGCCGTGTGCTGATCTCTGCATGACACAAAACCTGCAAAGATCTGCTGTCTGCACAGCGCACATCCCCATCTTTGTGACAGATTCTGTTTTAAACAGAAAAATCGAAAAAAAAACAAAACAAGAACGTTGTTTGTGTGTTACTGTCTAAGCATATATAAGATATAATTACAGGATTTGCTCGCCTCTCATAGTAGAAATGCATCATCTGCAATAGATGCAAACCTAGCTGCATTAACGTTACTAAATGTTATCGCATGTGTAACGATCCTGAATCTAGTTGGATGTGTTTTGATGGTCATGTGTTTGATTGTACTAGCTAGTGATTCTGAACCGAATCATTTAACGCTAAATCCGCCAAAAACATCTTTGACTGTTTGTTCAGTGACTCTTTCTGCAGTTTAGGTTGTTACGCCAATAGGTGGCGTCAAGTGACTGTCTTTCTATGAGTAATAAGCAAGTCATTGAATCATGCATTCAAGTAATTCCTGAGTGTTATTATTTTCCTTTATTATGACAACAAATTATGTTATTGTTTCTCCAATTATCTGTCAGGACTAAGAGCCAAAGTAAGTATTTGTTCAGTTCCCTTTCAGACTCAAAACGACCTGTTTAGTGAAGGGGAGGTGTTCATTTAGTAAGTCAACCAATAAAATGCTCAGTCATAAACTGCGGTCGAATGCTATTGGCTCGTGGAATAGCCAGTCTTTTAAGGTGTGGTCAAATTCGGGCAAAAAACGGTCCATTTTCTGTTGTCACTAGTGTAGCAAAGTTTGAAGCTCAGCTCACACAGAAGTCACTTTTTAAAACCAAGCGGGTTAGCGCCACTTGAATATTAGTGAAATCTGCATGGTGAAATTGTTTGCTCTTTTGCACGGGTTCCTATTGAAATGAACTTTTTTCATTTGTAACTGTACCTCAAGGCTGAAAAGCTGGTATTCACTTAAAACGGGAAAGAGGAGTCAGTGAGAATGATTCATTGATTAAAAAAAAAAAAAAAGATTCATTGATTTTTTTTTTTTAATCAATGAATCATTCTCACTGACTCATCTTTCCCGTTTGAAGTGAATACCAGCACCACTTTATTCCTCCAACTCAGAGGCGGATATACCCATTACTTACTGCCAGCAGTGAGTTCAGCTCTCATAAACGCACATTAATGTTACTAACATGATTTCAGATTGCATAACAGTTGTCTTTGGAGGAACTATGTTTCTGGTACGAACAGCCAACAGCCACACCTTAAGATTTAACTCAGACTGGTAGCTTTTTTTCCCCCTGACAGGTGAAATAACGTATTTATTTGTTTTAATAATTACTCAGCCATTCATTTTAAAGTGAGCAACGCAACAAAAACCTAGCCTGAAAGTAGTTTGACATAGACCACAGCTGTACTGTTGCAGAAAATATATTTATTTTTGTTGAAAGTTTTTAGTTATTGTTATTATTAATTCTATTGTTATTATTTATAATTTTCTGTTTAATATATAGTTATATAATAGTAAACCACAAGTCTGTGTGCATACACACACACACACACACACACACACACACACGCACATCATTAAGAATTTTTGTGTTTTGAAATAAGAACAAGATATATTTGATAAAATGTTGGTAAAAAACAGTAATATTGTGAAATATTACTACAATATCAGATAAATGTTTTTTTATTTTATTATATTGTAAAATGTAATTTATTCCTGTGATGCAAAGCTACATTTTCAGCATAATTTCTCCATTCTTAATATATTCTATCATATCAATGTTGAAAACAGTTTTGCTGCTTTAATATTATTGTGAAAACTGTGCTACGTTACCATTTAAAAGTTTGTGGTAAATAAAAAAAATAGAAATATTTTTATTCAGCAAGGACATGTTAATTTGATCAAAAGTGATGATAAAAACATTTAAAATACAAAAGGTTTGTATTTTAAGTAAATGGTCATCAAAGACAAAAAGTCCTAAAAAATGTCTCACTGCTGAAAATTCAGCTTTTAAATAACATTTTAAAATATATTAAAATAGAAAATGGTTATTTTTAATATTAATGTAACAATATTTTGCAATAATTCTATATTTTTGATAAAATAAATGCAGCCTTGGTGAACATAAGAGACTTCTTTCAAAAACATTAAAAAATCGTCATGATCCCAAACTTTTGACCGGTAGTGTCTGTGTATGTTGTGTATATATACACATACAGTGGGTACGGAAAGTATTCAGACCCCCTTAAATTTTTCACTCTTTGTTATATTGCAGCCATTTGCTAAAATCATTTAAGTTAATTTTTTTTCCTCAGTGCGCCACTCTCTGGGTGTGTTCGACTTGACGCGGACCGACTGTGCAGACCGATCGGTGTATTACAGTACCACGAGAGCTAAAGAGAGCAGATTGCTCCGTGCGCTTTCGAATCGCTCTCGCGGATGTCAAACACTGATCGATCTGCGCCTTACTGACGTTGATGAGATTAACTCCTTAGGTATCGAAATTTGGTACCGAACGACGAGACGTTTTTCGATACTCGATGGTATCGAGGCAATTCGGTCGGTGCCTAAAAAGTATCGAACTCGATACCCAGCCCTACAAGGCAGTGATGGCAAATAGCTCAAGGGTCTTTGTCTTCATCTGGAAAAAATAACTGACTTGCAGCACCACTGCTTCCATATGCACATATTGGACATCATGTTGAATCGTTTCCCAAAACACATGGGATCACGTGAGTTGAGTGATGTGTGAGCAGAGGGCAGGCAGAAAGGCCCAGTGGCTGACCATGTGTTTAACGGCACAATGACAGATGCTTCTCATCTCCAGGGTATGTGAGACAGCTGGCCCATGTGCAACCTGACTCCATATCACTGACAGAGACCACATGCTTCATTCAGACATTTGAACTACCTCTACAAACCCGTCTTGATGGTCTTTCTCATAGTTCGGACTTTATATCTCACAGTTTGTTCGTTTTTTTCATTGCAATTCTCAGAAAAAAAATCAGAATTGTGAGATGTAAGCTCACAATTGCAAGAAAAAAGCCTGAATTCTTAGATAAAAAGTCTTAATTATGTTTTTTTAGTTTTTATTCCTCACGGGGAAAAAAAACAATTGCAAGATGTAAATTCACAATTCTGAGAAAAAAGTCACAATTGTGAGAAATAAACTCAAGCAAGAAAGTAAGTCGGAGTTCACATCGTGCAGTACTGAATTTATTGAAAA